GATAAAAAAATTAACTTGACTCAAGAGCCAAAATCTTGAACTGAAAATACCATTTTGAAGATGATTTTTTTGAATCAATTTACTTAAATCAAAAATAATTTCTTGACTCAAGAAAATCATTTTCTTCAAAATGGTATTTTTGGTTCAAGATTTTGGCTCTAGAGTCAAGTTAATTTTTTTTATCAGTGCATTTAATTATTTTAAAACAGATATTATCGAATTGTTTAAAAAATACCATCAGTTTTTGGATTTTTCACTTTTTTCTTTTTGTTTCAAGTGACTTTTAGTATTTTAAAAGAAATTTTTTAAAGAAAAGAAAATAATTGTTAAAGAATAGAGTTTTTCAGAGTAGAATTTGATTGTATCTCAAAAAAACTAAAAAAAAATGAAGACAATATTCAAATATTTAATTTTAAAACAATTCAAATTGAAAAAAAATTTAAACACCACTTTCATGTTAAAATGATTAATCATTAATCATAAATAAAAATGTCACAATAGAAAATATCCAACTCGTTAAAACTTTTAAAAAAAGTTTTTTTTTTTTTTTTTAGAATAACTTTCAAGTTTTTCAAACATTTCAACTTAGCCAATATAGGTTACTATAATCGTGTTTAAATAGTTAATTACGATTTTCTTACTAATTAATAATTATTGTTATTTTTTTAAATAAATTTTTTCTTTGATGCACAATTTGATTGTCTTTTGTAGAATTCCCTTTTAAAAAAGTACTTTTTTCCAGTGTATAGAAATTTTTTATCGATAAAATCGATTCACTTCGACAATTGTACTGTTTTTATTTTTTACTTTGAATATGTCGTTATTCACTTCAATTTTATTATGGAATATTAATACCTTTCTTTTAAAATGAAAGAACTAATTCACACATTTGACAACTATAAGTTGAAAAAAAAAAAAAAAAACAAAATAAAAGAGTATTATTTGCATATTGAAATGAGGATTCATTGAAGTGGAATTCAAAAACATAAACTTATTTCGAGTGAAATATCGAAATAAAACCACCGCTTTGCACAGAAAAAAAAAACGGATAAATAGAAATAAAAAAACGATTCAATCGCAGACGCGGATAAAATAAACATAAAGAAATTTATTTAACATCCGTTATCAAAGAGTAATTGAATGTTATTTATCACGAATCATGACACCCCCGGCAGCATTTAGCCATCCATTATTCTCACAGTACAGAATCGCAAATGATAAGGACTGACTGCAGAATCAGCAGCAGCAATCAGTACTTGACACGAGTACCCTCGATTCGGGATCGAGTGATCATTCAAATGATCCGATTACTAATTAACGATTATATTTAATAAACTGGTAATTAGGTTCTAATTACCAGTAACCTCCACTGTTTCCAATTTAATTAACTCGTTGTATTACATATATTTGTTTCCATTTTCCAATTAACCCCGGAAAAAATAGAAACTTTCCCCTGAGCATCTATCGATTTTTTGTTAAGCTCTCTTCTATTTTTGTTTTATAATTCCGGGTTGTTGATGAGTACCTCGGTGATGCCCATGAGACAGTCGGTGCAATCAAACTTCCACTCGTACTCTGATAAACGCGGAAACTAAATCGTGCCAAGCATTAAATGGTAATGAGAGTTATCACTTCCTCTTACACACATTCAAAAAATTTTTTTTTATTATTCTATTAAATATTCAAGATTCTAAACTTCTTTAATTGGTCAAAGACTTTTTATTTCTTTCGCCTTAAGAATCAAATAGTATAAAAAAGTTTCTAGTTTTTTGAAAAAAATTTACGCCATAAAAATTGGATACTCACAAAAATTAATTCAAAATAAATAGTGCTGTTCTATAAAAATTATTTTAAAGATAATTAAATTTCTTGACACAAGAATTTTTTCTCTTGAAATGAATTTTTTTTTCTAAATTTGAGAACCTAAAAAATATTTTCTACACTCTTCTCCAGAATTAACAATAATTTAATTTTTCTCTTTAGAATTTTATGCGTTTCAAAAACTAAAAAATATTTTACTTGAAATTTTGGAATTATTGGAACAAGTCCGTAATATTTTAATTCAACGTTAATTTGTTTTTTTAATCTCAAAATTATTTCTATGAGCATTTATGAGAAGAAACTTTAATGAAAATTTAATAATTGACTTTATCTTTAAACTTTCTAATTTTCTTGTTTAAAAATCCCGCTTTTTTAACAAACAATGCACCATTTTCAAGTATAGTTCTATTAGAAGTATGATACTGGCGCCATCTATCAGAATTTTTGAAAACTAAACTAAAAACAAAGAAAATTACAAGGAAAATTACTTCTTTTTATCTTTAAGTTTTATTTTCTTTAGATTCGTGAATTTTTTTAATTAGTTTAAATTAAATGTCTTTGACAAGAATGATATTTTAAAGAAAATATATAATTTAAATTAAAAATTCTATTCAAGTGTAGGTTCAAACAAAATTAAATTTTTTTGATCTCCTCAAGCTTTGATAATCTACAATTCGTGTTAAATTCTGCAAAGAAATAGATCAAAAAGGTTATTATATCCATAAACTTGAAAAGGTATATTCATGCAAAAATGAATTTTAAATTCCAAAGTATTAGTTAAGGAAAAGAGCTTTTTTTTTTTTTATATATATGCAAACTACCTGTTTTATTGACTTTCACCTCTGCCCATATATTTCACTCCAACGTCCTACTTTCGACGCAAGGGTTCAAAAGTGCGCTTGCGTGACATAATACACAAGGAATGAAAAATCTAGTTCAAATTTTAAGAATCAGTGATGCTACTTAAATAGACCTAAAACTAGAACTAGATAATAAATATTATCGGATTTTCTCTCCATATATTGTAGTCCTTTCTTCCCATTAGTATATAACCTGTTATTAATTTCCGGAGAATGTAATTAACATTGCAGCATAATGTGTTTCATAAGACGGCAAAAAGCTCTGATGGATGTAAGTGGAAGTCGGTTGGCAAGTTACCTAAATTAAATTCACCGGTACAGCGGCAAGAGCGTTTGATTAAAATTAATAGACGGTCAGTAAATATCCTAAGGGTTTTCAGTCCAGGAGAAACTCCTACCGAAATTTTACCCCGGACAGAATGAGGAGAGCTATTAAAGCTCTACGAGTGCTTTTGATTATATTTCTGGGAATTCGTCGATATAGCAAAGGGAATTGCGGAAGTTCGTACAAAGCTTCCACATGAATTTTCTCGTTATCTTCATGACAATTAATCCTCAGGGTCACTGAAAGCTCCTCGGATCATAAATGTCAATAATTCATATTCCGGAATTTTATTTTTCATTATTAAATTCCTAGAATATGGCTTTGTATTTTTAATTTCATTTTTTCCATCGAAATACACGAGAAGGAACTTTAAAATTAACAACAATCGTAATGTGCTCGTAATACCACAAGGGCGTGCAAAATAGAAAAGGCAGAGTGCCAAAAAAGGGCTAAAACTTTTTTCCTTTTCGCAGACGTATCTTTATAGTTAATGCTGGCATAGACAAAAAGTTTTACGGAAAGTTCAACTCTTACTTTATATTACAGCATAGAAAAATCGACCGATATTGCTGTTTACGTGAGATTCAAGATTGTTCGCGGCTTTATTATTTATTGTCGAGCTCTTGAGGGTGCTTTTGATGATCATAAGCGACTTTTAACAGGCTTAAATTTTGTTATTTTTCATTGAAATAAGCCGTCGAGATTAGATTTTGATAAAAAAAAATTATTAGCTTTAATATAATATTATTTTCAATATTTTATTATTATAGTTTGAATTCTAAAAAGTTGACCTTAAAGGCTACCCCTGCAATTCCCGCTGATTTCATATCTAAGCTCTGTAAATTGCACTTATGACGTTTTTGAGCTCTTCGAGTTCAAAAATATAATTTATATGTTATGTCGAGCTCGCTGCACAGAAAAAAAAGTCATCTTGACTCAAGAAAATCTTTTTCTTCAAAATTTTATCTTCAGTTGAATATACTTGGATCAAGTAAATATTACTTGACTCAAGATGACTTTTTTTATCTTCAGTTGAATATACTTGGATCAAGTAAATATTACTTGACTCAAGATGACTTTTTTTTCTGTGTGGGTTCAAAGAGTTAGCTGTTGTAAGCTTTTGAGCTCAAGGGAATGATAGAAGTTTAATAAAACTCTATTATTTTAATTTTTAAACTGCAATTACTTTCTAATAAATAAACAGATTTTTACGCGGTTTATTGGCAGCATTCAACGCAGTTTTTCGAATCCTATGATTAACTTTTAAACATAAACTAATCAGATTTTTGGGCTCTAATAATTATTTCATTTCATCAAAAACGATCCGAAAAGAAATGTCGTATTTATGTAAAAAAAAAAAAAAAAACACTTTTTTCGAAATTTTTCATTTTCGATAACTCCCGAACGAATCAATCGATCCTGAAGGAACTGGCGGCAATCGAAATGGTTTTTCAAGTTTAAGAACGGATTAGTTTTTGGGATTGATTGGAGAAGCTGTTCAAACGATATTACGAAAAAATCTTTTTTTTTTTTAATTTTATTTTTAAGATTTCTCAGAATCTAGCATACGGAATTGGAATGGGATATTTATTAAAAGCTTCCGATAACATGACTAGTTCCATACTACAATGGTTACATGTCATTTGGTCATAATGAATGAAAAAGTAAAATCGAGATCTTTGGTAAATCTGAAGTAAAAATCTCGTGACATAATTGAATCTAAAATTAAAGCATAATAACATCGGGACTAAGAAAACTGCGCAGGTGTAATTTTACATTGTTGCAATAATTTTATTACCGGAACTAAATGTGAGATTAACTGTTTGATAGACTATTTATTACAGTTATTCGTGATGAGTTTCTGCAAATTATTTCATGATAATCGGCAGATTCTTGGGTATTTATATTGTTTCGTAAGTTTTTAGAGCTTATTATTACAATTCTTGTAGAAATTATATAAATACGCCTCTCGTCGTCATAAATTACTCGCAAAAATGATCATAAATGTACTGATTATTTTGGTAGCTCAACTTGTAAGCGTACAGGTAAGTACTCAAAATTTTCTTGATAATTTAGATCATGTATCACTTAAGCTTTTTCTGATTAGTTTTTACTGTAACAAATTAATGGTATTCTTGATTTTCAAGGGGGGCATTCAAATGACTTTCAAGTATGCAGAAGTGCCTTCTTATAATAAGGAATATGTAACAGAACCTGATATGTATATTTATGATGGTGATAAAGTATTTCTAAATTATTCGGTAATAAAACAGTTTCCACCAACAACTGAAGTAAGAAATCATATAAATAATCATTAATTTTCAGTATTAGTTGTTTTTTTATAAATAAACTGCGTTTTTTTTCTATTTCCATAGTTATTAACAAATCTAAAACTTTTTAAAATTACACTGAAAAAAAAATTTTCTGTTTGGTGCAGAAAATTTGGTGTCTGTAATAAATTTTATTCAAAAACTTACTAGTATGTGGATAAGACATTTTTAAAAATTAAAAAAAAAAATAATCGTGGTACTATTTTTTTGACAATCCAAAAAAATTTTACCGAGACTTATTACTTTATTAAGCTATCTGCTAAAAATTTTTATCAAAACTTTTTATTTTTTGATAGTTTTAAAATGCTTGATTAATGAATATTGACGTTTAGGAACATTATGTAATACTAGGCGCATCAATGGGTGAATACGTCGTTGAAACTGGATTCGACTTACAACTACCCTTGTGTGAATTTTTGGACTTAGGGATGGGATATTTCAGTGACCTGTTGGGATTTGATCAAGATAATTGCCCACCTAAGCCGGTAAAATTTTACCTTTAATAATTCGTTGAAAATATTTAAATCATAATAATTCATAAGAGTATTGATATAAGAATCATTTCTTTTTTTATTATTCCTAAAATATACCCGGAAAAAAGACCAGTTGAATGATTATAGTTTTTACGGAAAAAAAAACTGAATCTCGGTTTAAAACAATAAAATTTTTCAATCAAAAGGATTTATAGTTTTAAAGTGTATTATTAGTCATATATGATTTGAAGGCATTACTTTTTACTACTTTCAAATACTTAGTATAAGGTTACTTTTTGAACTATTTTATTTTCTGTGTAGTTTAATCAATTTGTAAAATTGATGCAAGCTTGGTCGTATTAATCATTAATGATTGTTGATTTTCTCTAAATATTTTTAGGGCGTATACGGAAATGAAGCTCATGTCTTTGCAGCAAACGACTTTACAGATAATTTTCCCACAAACGAATATAAATCATTTCTTGAATTTAAAAACAACAGTGAAGTAATAATGGCGTTGTGTACATTCCTCGACATTCAATAAAACTTGGTAAAATTTCAATGTAAAATATTTGAATTTTTCGCATCAACAATAATGTAAGCCAAACGTAAATACATAATCAATATATCATTAGCTGCCTTGAAAAAGTTTACAATCTCTATGATCCTGTGCAATACTAAAAAAGTTTGAAAAATCCAAAAGTACACAGTAAAAAATTAGGAAAACGGTTGACTCTGAAGGCCATTCCTGCAACTTCCCGCTAATTCCCTACCTAGGCACTTAAAATTGCACTTATGATGTTTTTGAGCTCTTTGAGCTCAAAAATGCAATTTATGTGTTATTTTGAGCTTTCCGAGCGTCGAGATCTGATGAAAATTCGATTTTTGCAAAATAGAGTAAAACCAATAATTTTCTAACTACGAAAATTTTCAATTTTCCTAGCAGAAAGTTAAAAATTTATGAATTGAATCAAAAAATAATCTTGAGAATGACGAGAAAAAATGTTTGTTATTTTTATTGGTCTTGAGTTTTTAAGAATTCTAAAATACAGTGCCACTGGTATACTTCTAATAGAACTATACTTGAAAATGGCGTTTTGAATGTTAAAAAAGCGGAGTTTTGAACAAGAACATTGGAAAGTATAGAAGAAGAGTTTAATTATTGAATTTGCAGATTTTTTCCGATAAATGGTCACCAAAAGGTTAAAATTGAAAACAATATAAAGATAAATCAACATTGATGCAAAATATTACTGATTTTTTTCAAGAATGAGTTCTGTTTTTTTTCTTCTATTTTTTTTGGTACATTGACTGAACAAGCTTCTTTTTGAACCAAGAATACTAAATTCTTGAAGAAAAACGAAATGGTTAGATTCTCTGTAATATAATATTCTTTGATAAAAAATATTTATTTTTATTAAAATTTTTAAATTCATATTTATATTAAATTATTCCTCTCTAATATTTTAGTTCATAAACATTTTTTCTGTACTTTCCAGAAAATTTTCAATTGTATACTCATAAAGTATTCCATACTACTAGATTAATGTTTATTTTGGCTTTGAAACTTTGTTTAACAACTGCAACATCTGTATAGAACCGAATAGATGAAACTTAGATTCCAGCGCACTGAGAAGTAGTTTATATTGCGATCAACCAGAAACAACTGGAGTAGAGTTTCATTGATAAAGAAGTTGATGGCGGAGAATTGCTCCTCGAAATTCGATACTAAACGGACAATTTGGCACAGACAGTTACATACTTTAGCTCTGTTGGTATGTGAGTATCTATACATGTGTCCGCGCAAAACCAATGCACAAGTGATAAACATTAATCTAGAGTAGTTATTCTCTGCTCGTACATTGGTATTATATCGGGCCAGTGGATCCTGATCGGTGACTGGTTATGAAGATTAATTATAATCACACGTTTCATTGGAATTGCCTTATAATTTATAATAAAATTCGTTAATTAACGCTCGCCATTCTCGTCCAACTTGCGTTTGATAAAATATTCATTAATAACCTCAATAATGCTATTCATCATTGAGTGTCACGAAGTATGCGAGATTAAATTTTCGGTTTTGCATTATTTTGCGCTCTGATATTATCAATCGAATTGTTATTAACCGCAGTGAAAAAGTTAAACTTCATTTGTGCGACATTGATATTTTTGGTGATTTATTAATATCCAACATTATTAAATGAAATATTTCTTTTGAAAAGAGATAATCTCTTTATACAAAAAAAAATTAATTTGATCTGAGGAAAATTCTCAACATTATTGTGAAAAGTTTTACTGTCGTGGAACGATATGAAAAATTCTTAGATTAAAAAAAATTTATTAAATCAAGAATTTTTTTACTTAATTTTAGACGATGAAATTATTTAAAATGATTTTCTTGTTAGAAGAATTATTTTTTTTCATTTAGAAATTCCAAAAAATTGCATTTTTTTCTATGTTTAAAAAATACAATATCTGGAGTGTAATTTGGTCAAAAAAAAAATAGTTAATATTTTAACTAATTCTCTTTATTATCGATTTAATTTTCAAAAATTCCGATAGATGGCGTCAGTGGTATAATTCTATTGAAACTTTGCTTGAAAATGGCGTTTTGTATGTTAAAAAAGTGAAATTTTTGAATAAGAAAATTATAAGAGATTAAAAAGAGCTAAATGATTGATTATTAAGATTTCTTTTTTGTAAACACGTAAAAATTTATCAAAATTGAGAATAATCTAGTCTTTAATAAAAAAATACTGCTCTTAAAATTTTCATATATTGTTATGGATCATTTCTATAATAAAAGAGTAATGTCAAGATTTTAGCATAATGCTTGCAATGTACATGCATGTTTATTCAAGCTCGACATTCAACAACATCCAGCCCGTTAGTTTACTCATGTTGTCTCAAGGACATCTAAAACAGTATTACATAAAGAGAAAATTTTCTATAAGCTTGCAGAGAAGGAGAAGGATAAGTAGAAGTTGGAAACTTATTTGAGGCAGTTTTCGATGAGTGGTGTTGACATTTAACGACGTCATTCATCAACCACCATTTTCATGATAAATTTACGATGGTTCATCAAAGTTTAACTAGATAATCTGCTGCATTTATTTCAAGTATTTTATCAAATATTTACTGTAAGGGTTCATGTAAATTAAATATTCACGAATATACTTCGACTTTCGTCACCCCTCGAACAAATATTACTTCTGGAACTATTAATAAGTAATAACAATTATTATGTAGATGTCGCTTAAATATTTAACGAAAAAATGTATTTTCAGCGCGGAATACATTAGCCATAAAGGTCAGAAGCGGAAAAACGAAAAGAATAAATTACGTGACTTTTATAAAACTTTGAAAAACAAGGACGAAGGGTGAAGCGCTGGAACAATTAAAATTAACCTAATTAGCATAATGCTCTGCTTGATATAAAGTTGAAGTGTGTAAAGAACAAGAAGAAAAAAATAGACAACAAACTGCGGTGTCTGCTAGGTGGATAATGATAAAGAGTGAGCTTTTGATCTTATATTATACGTTAATCCCACACCAGTTCAGAAACAAGACCCAGTGATCCAATACTCGACGGTATCCGTTATCCGAGCTACCGCAATACATGAAAATGCGCCTTCAACTTTAGAAATTTGGAATTACTATGCACTTCATTCGTCTCTTGGGTTTTGTACACGGATTTTAATCTTAACTCGGTTTATTTATGGGAAATAATCCATAGCCCGCAAAAGGATCCGAAGTTGCATCAAGGCTGAGTAGTTTACTTAACGGAAGTGTTATTTCTGGATAAAAAGTGTTACATCATGGAATTTGATACCAGACACAGTTACGGGCGAATAGAACTATATAAATGTAAATTATATAAATAAATAACTTTTCCACTAAATTAAATCTATTTAGTGCAGGTGTACTCTGATTACATAAATAAACAGCTTTGGAGTTGCGTAATGTATAAAACGTGTATCATACTTATGTGTTGTAGGATTCATTTTGATTAACAACACATTACCTTGTATGTTACACGTTAGTAGTACTATTATCGTTACGATTTTTAAACTTTTCTCTTCAGCAGTTCAAATATCCGTGAAGATGATTTATCTTCACAGAAAAAAACTACTTTTTTTTCCTCCGTAGCTAAAAAATTATTGGTAATTATTTACAAGTGGTCCACCCTATTTTTGGCCATATCTAGGTGAAAAATTAACATTTTTTAATTTTTTTTGCCCTCCGAGCGGAAAGTGGCAACTTTCATCCCGCTGCGCTAAATAAGGTTGCCGCTTTCTGCCTTCTTCGGACAAAAAAATAGCATACAGCCCTTGGAAATTACTATGCCCGTGCAATATACTATACTCGAGAAAAATGCTCTCTTTAAAATCTTACTGTTCAGTTTGAATTAATCTATAATATAAAGTTCACTTTTGAATGTACAAAATACAACTTGAAAAAAAAAAATGTTTTTTAATCATTTATCAATTTTTTATCACTGCATTTTTTTAATTAAACGGATCAAATTATTAAGCATGAATAGTTTATATATCTGCGCAGAATGTGAATTTTTTTTCTACGAGCTTTCGCTACAGTTTTAAAACTTTAAGAATGTGCAGCTTTTTTCTCTCTTTTTTCGTAACAATCGTAACTCTATAAAACTCTGACAGAATAATGATCATTTTACCGAAAATTTCTTTCTAGTATCATAAACAGTGTTTAGAGTAAATTCTTTTTTCCTAAAACCAGAAATCGTTGAATTTATGAGTCCACTCGGTCTTAAATTTCATTATTCTATTCCATTTTCTCGATCCGATTAATTTACACTTGAGAACGTCAGAATTATAAATTATACCTGACCCAACTCAACCGCGTCTTGTCATTATTTCTCTTGGGAATAATTCCTTGTACATTGCACCGTACATGCTTCATCCCCAGAGCATTTCTTCCATCAAGAAGTCTTTCGTCGAGTATTATTTTCGCTCTCAGCTCTGTTTGTAATTCCACTATGCGTAAGATCACATAATAAAAACGGAGGATGAAAAATTTCCTTTACGAACGACGCACTGGGAATTATGCATAATTTTCCAGAATTGTTTCGCTGACTTGTTTGCATTTAATTATTTCAACGTCTATTCGCTTGGAAGTCAAACATCTTATAAAAATTTTTTCACGATAGATAATTGGATGTTTTATTAATATAAATGTTTGTTCAAATTTGAAGAGTTGGACTTTATTCAGCGATTCTCTAAAGCTTTTGTACAAGCATCTGGGTTTGACAGTCAAAGAGAAAAAGGTCTTTTGTGAGTTTGATGAAAAGTAGGCGAAAAATTTACTAGAAATGTCGCGGTGGAAATAATCGTTCTATTTAGCTTTTTATTTCGCTATTTCTTCTTTCTCTGCATCGCGGATTACGAAAGAATGTGGGAGTGTATGTGTGATTATGAACGTAATAGAAGTACTAGCAGTGTCAAGTCATCTATATACATATCTATAGGTATGTGAGTATATAGGGAGCATTCAAGTGAAATGAACAATGAA